AGTGACTTCTTAAACTCTTATATTTACTACATTGCAGAAATCTGTGATGGCCTGTGATACAATGACAGTCTACACTACAAACTACAGAATGCTATTGCATGAACCTCACAGAAAATTTCCTTGGGGCCTGAGAGATAGTAAAGAATTAAAGTACTTGTCCAGAATAAAGATCCTGGTTTGATCCCCAGCACCACATATGCAAATAAATGACAATTTCCATGACAGTAGGACATTTTCTACCTGCTTTGGGCTTATTAATATAAGAATCAGTATCATTTTGAAACTTGGGCTAAAATGAAAAGACATCCTATTGCGTAGAGGAAAATATCACATCATATATCAAATAAAGAATAAACATTCAAGATACATAAAGCACTCACAATGCTCAACAACGTCAGCAACCCTCTTTGTTTTAAATGGAGAGAGGAGATGAAAAACAAAGCAGTAAGTATTGTTTGTATTGGAACACAATTAACACTGTCACTGTCATTGCCCTCCTGTTGTTCATCGATTTGCTCCAGTGGGCCCAGTAACATCTCCATTGTAAGACTTGTTGTTACTGTGTTTGGCATATCGAATACATCATGGGTAGCTTGCCAAGCTTTGCCATGCAGGCGAGATACTCTCGGTAGCTTGCCGGGCTCTCTGAGAGGGGCGGAGGAATCGAACTAGGGTTGGCCATGTTGGCCGCTTGGAAGGCAAACGCCTTACCCTCTGTGCTATTGCTCCAGTCTGCAATTAACAAAACAAGTGTTAACTGTCACTCAGTAGTAAAAAAAATCAAATACATCATTGAGATGAAAAAGGTATCTCTCAATAGGATATCTATGGACAGTGAGAAAGACATCTATCAATAGGACTGATAGAAATCAGTGTTGGCATGAATATATTAAAGACCTTCTTTCACTTTTGGTTGTAATGTCTCCTGGTTTAGCCTTACACAAAATAGTATGGAAGTCTCTTAAAAATAGACATAGAGTTTCCATAAGAATCACTGATACTACTTTTTTGTCATATAACCCAAGAACACACAAAAAATAATTAAAAAAGATGTATGCACACCTTTGTTCATTACAATACTTAGCACAATAATGAGCCTATGGAAGCAACCCAAAAACCCAACAATAGATTAATAGACCAAAAAAAAAATCTATGGTATATATGCATACTGGAACTGTACAGTCATAGAAAATGTAAAATCTTCAAATTAACTACAATATGGATGGAACTCATGGTAATCATGCTAATCAAAATACGCCAGAAAAAGAACAGAAACACCAGATGATATTACTCATCTGTGGGGTATAGAGAAACACCACAAGGAAATGGGCAGTGCCAAAAAAATCACATATCTTTTGCCCTGGATAACAAAACTAAGACTACCAAGTGGGAGGTAAGGGTGATGAAATGGTGGTATAGATGTAAAATAAGATAAGATGTGGAGGGTATTGAACATTTCAGTGATGGTGAGGTGTGGAAAATACCATTAAGACCATAAATGTTAGCTTTTTTGTAAATATGTTACCTTAACTACAATAATAAGAAAGTTCATGATTTCTCAGTATGTGGCATGACATGATGGATCGTTGTTCTTTTATTCTTTACCTTAAATGCATAATTTTAAAAACTGACATGAAGAGTTTGAAGATTAGTCAGGTCTTCCTCTTTTCACACAAATAATAATATATCTGAACTAATAATTTCTAATTGGCTACTCTTTCCAAACAGGTTAAAATTTAAAGTTTTGGTTCTATTTTTAGGATGCTCAAACACAGTCTGTAATTATTTCACTATTTTTAAATTGCTTTACAACCTAACTTATATTTCAGGAACTGTTGGAAACCCTTTCTATCCCTAGACTATCCTATTGGAGAATGTGAATGTCATGGCATTACAAAAAATAGAAAAACATATAATCATGAAGAACTTGTGACATGTGTATGAACAATATTCATATATTCATAATGATTGAAACAATTGTTATTTTCTTTGAAAATCAAAGTGAAACATATAACAAACATGATAATTGCAATCTTAAAGACATGTTTAAACAGTATGAAAATTGAAAATATACAGAGGAAAGTATGCAAACATACTTATACTGATCCCTAATGTAATGTTTAAAGTTTATAAATTATTTTTAATAAAATTATTAAAAGTAAAACTGTTGTTACTGTGTCTGGCATATCGAATACTCTCGGTAGCTTGCCGGGCTTAAACAATTAAGTTATATTATTTCAGAGATGTTACAGGAATATCTTGAGATAAGGATTTAGTTTCAGAGCACTCAATAAACAAATATTATATAGCAATCACAGTTTCTTTTTGTTTCCTCCTGTAAATAGACAGTCATTTTTGTCTTTCTTCATTTTGGCAGCCCTGAGATTTTATCAGCCTGTCCTTCCTCATCCTTCTTAATGCTGCCTTATTGGTGCCTTTTTCAGGGTCAGGGGAATAAGACACATTGTATTTACTGGTTTTGGCATATGAATACTCCATAGAGAGCTAGCCTGGCTCTGCCATGTGGGCAGGATACTCTCGATAGCTTGCCAAGCTCTCTGAGAGGGATAGAGTGTTCTCCACTTTGCTGATGACATCGTTCTAACAACACCAAACATTAGCCAAACAGCACAAATGCTGGCCGACTTCGACCATGAGTGTGGAAAGTTGGACTACAGCTGAATCTCACAAAGACAATGTTTATGAGAAACAGTCTTGTTCCTGATGTTCCCATTTGTTTTCAATAGAATGAAGATCTCTGAAAGCACCAGTTATGTGTACCTAGTTCAAGAAGTCTACATGACGAACGACCTGGAACCTGAGTTGTGCAGGAGGAAGAAAGCGGCTTCTAACGCCTTCAAGAGCATCAAAGATATAGCTAAGAGGACGAAGAAACTCCGGCTTCTGGCACATTTCCATGATCCCACTTTTCTTCCTGCATTAACATATGCCTCAAAGACCTGAACCCTACAAAAACAGGTTAAGAACGCTATTTGAGTCTCCCAAAGAGGAATCAAAAGAGCTATGCTTGGAGTATCACGTTTAACTCAAATAAGAGAAAAAATCCGGAGTTCCGATCTCCGTCGATGGTCAAGAATCAGGGACGCTGTCTCCTTTGCCAAGGCGTCAAAAATCAGATGGGCTGGACACGTAATGAGATTTGGAGACGTCCGCTGAACTAGAGCCATTACCGACTGGATTCCATGGGATGTCAAAAGATTGCGTGTCTGCTCACCTACAAGATGGTCAGACTTCTTCATCAAGACCCTGAATGATCGGTTCAAGGCTCTTCATGTTCCTCGAGGGAGCAGATGCCATTAGGCTACACTAGCATGTGACAGGGATGAGTGGAGACATTACTGGTGCCCGCTCGAGCAAATTGATGAGTAACAGGATGTCAAGTGATCAAATGATCAAGTGTAAATAGAAATTATGTCTACACTGTATTATGATCTTTTAAGTATAAATAAAATTGTACCTAAAAATAAACAATACTTAATTAAAACATACTTTGTTGTGAAAAGTTTTACCCACCATTTCTGCCTTTAATGGGGCATAATCTTTCTGCTCATAGAGGGTCTCGCCTCAGTGATGATGACTGCTGATTGATCAAGGTGATGGTTATTGAAGGTTTTCAATACAATTTTCAATGTCTTAAAATAAGACATCAAGGAAACTGCATCAGCATTCTTCTTGTAGGAAATATTCTCTACAGCAGATTATACTGCTAAACAGACTTCACTCAGAATAAAACTTTTCTGAATTTGAGTCAGCTTTCCCAAAATTCTGCAGTTGCTTTTTTATATAGTCAGGCTTCGTTTATAATTCAAGTTCTCTTTTTCTTTTTTTTTTTTCTCCTCTACTTTCTCCACAGAATAAAACCCTCTAAAGGCACACATTATGGCTGGAATAAACTTCTTCCAGACTCTGCTTAATACTGATATTTTTACTTCATTCTGCTACTCACAAATGTTCTTAATGCCATGTGGAATGGTTAATCTGTTGGTCGCTGCGCTACAAGCAGGAAGCAGAACCGAGGTCCCACTTCTCACTAAGTGGGCAAGGTAAAAACTTCTGAGTCTGATGACCTAGAGCAGTACAGCATGCTCTCATACACCTGCCTAGTCATACATTATCTTGGCAGTACAAGGCAGCAGTTTCTCCCTCTCTTATTCGTCCTTAATCTGGATTTACCTTCAAGTATCAGTATGAGGATTCTCTTTGCCTTACGTGTAACCGACCACAAGAATGTGGAATACGTAATCTGTAAAGCCTACATCTCCAGCTCCATATCTTCCTCTGACATTTCTAATCATAACAACATAGCTTTGGCAACAGCTTTGACAAGAGAATGTATACCCTCATGTTCTTTTGACGAGTGCTCGAGTGCTTGTCCTATAGCTGTTTGTACTCTCGATAGTGAGTCTTCTCTGTGATGAAGTCCTTAGGATGTAAGTGATAAAAAATAGAATAAAAGAAGGCCTCTGGCAGTTGCTCTTTGTCTTGAGTCACATCGAGCCTGGGCCCTCTGTGCTCTGTACATTCCTCTCGTGTGTTCTATCTCCGTGCCTCCGACTGAAAGAATGTCCATGCAGCATTAATCCTTTCCAGAGGTTTTCAGTAAACTTTTTTCCCAGATCCATAATAGGAATCACTGTCTAATATAATCTATTTTACTGATTTATTTATTAACTAATAAAGTAGTAAATCTTGAAAGAAAATAATCCCTTGATCCATTAGCCAAAGAATGAATATTGTGGTAATAGGTATGAGAACAGTGAGAATCTCATTGCACATCTCCAACAGAGTTCTTCTTCCCACTCCTCACTGATCAGCAATTGTAATGAAAAGGGGAGAAGTTGACCCCTTCATCTATTGCTCTCTCTTTCTCTGGGCTCAGCAGCTGGCAGTGTGATCTCAGGCCTGAGCACAGAGACAACGTGCAGGCAGAAAAGAGAGTCTGGTTGAGAAGGGGCAGACAGTGCTTAGGGCTTGCTGTGACATGTTTAAATCTGAGTCTCACGTCCCCACTGCTGGTAGTCAGGGGAGAACTGAGGCCTCACTGGTTCTGGGGGCCACATCTCTCCCAGGGTCACAGGCATAGCCATGAGGGATTTTCAACCAATGCAGATCCATCAGAGCTCTAATATTTTGAAATAAATCATCTATTTGACCTTAGATCTCAACTATCACTGTCACTTCCCTCCTGTTGTCATAGATTTGCTCGAGGGGGCCCAGTAGCATCTCCATTGTGATACTTGTTACTGTGTTTGGCATATCAAATATGTCATGGATAGTTTGCCAGGCTTTGCCATGTAGGAAAGATACTCTCAGTAGCTTGCCCGGCTCTTCGAGAGGGGCAGAGGAATCGAACCCAAGTAGGCCGTGCCGGTGGCATGCAAGGCAAATGTCTTACCCACTGTGCTATTCCTCCAGATCTCAACAGTGAAGTTAAAAACATTCAATAAGCCACGCTGTAAACAGACATGTTGTCATCCAGGCTTTGTTGTTCCATTTATAGAACATAGACACAATAGATTTTGTGAAATCTATTGTTAAGAAAATCAGTTTTAAGGGAACCCAGATTTTTCCAAATGCTCAATGGGAATCGACTTCAAGTTCAATTTACAAGCTACATTAGCTCCCCCAAATTTGATGTCTAAAGCTTCCAAGCCAGACCCTGCACTTGTCCCTCGCTAGAAAAAGAAAAAAAAAACATGATGTTTCCTTTGGTAACAATATAAGACTATTCTCTGCACTTTAGCACTGTAGCACTATCATCGTCCAGTTGTTCATCAATTTGCTCGAGCAGGCACCAGTAACATATCCATTGTGAGACTTGTTGTTACTGTTTTTGGCATATCCAATATGCCAGGAAGAACTTGTCAGGCTCTGCCATGCAGGAAGGATATTCTTGATAGCTTCCCAGGCTCTCCAAGAAGGACTGAGAAATCAAACCCAGGTCGCTTGTGTGCAAGGCAACCGTCCTACCCACTGTGCTATCGCTCAGGTCCAGACTATTCTCTATGTTGATAATTTATTATTTTGGATAGTTGCTTTCTTCAGCCATGTTAACAGATCATTTGGACAGCTCTGTAGTTTTGTCTTAATAGCTAATTTCCCTGCACTTTTGTTGTTGTTGTTGTTGTTGTTGTTAATGAAGACGATTTCCATTTCATAGTTGAATCTCTGCTTCTTCAAATTTTTCTTTTAGCATTTTCCATACATCTCTTAACTTTCATAGAATAAATATGTTTAGTATTTTACTCTGGATTAAGTTTTAGATTATTGAATGTTGTGACTGGTTTGTTATCATATTTTATCAAATATTATCTGTAAAGCTATAAGGTTGTTTTACTTATAATTTGCGTGTTTCCTGGAGAAGCACACTACCTCACTTAGGATTCCAGGTTCAGTCCTGGTACTATTTATGTTTCTTTGAGCCCAACCAGGAGTCATTTCTGAGTGTAGAGCCAGGAATAAGCTCTGAGCACCACTGGATGTGGGCCCTAAACAATGCTAAAAAATAACAACAAAAAGAATGTCTCTTTTGCCTTTAAAATCTGGGTGTTTTCATTCAAAAGAACAAAAGCAACCGATGCTGGCGTGGATGTGGCGAGAAAGGGACACTCCTTCACTGTTGGTGGGAATGTCCACTGGTTCAGCCCTTCTGGAAAACAGTATGGACGATTCTCAAAAAATTAGAAATTGAGCTCCCATTTGACCCAGCAATACCACTCCTGGGAATATATCCCAGAGAGGCAAAAATGTATAGTCAAAGTGACATCTGCACTTGTTTGTTCATTGCAGCACTCTTTACAATAGCCAGAAACTGGAAGAAACCTGAATGCCCAAGAACAGATGACTGGTTAAAGAAACTTTGGTACATCTACACAATGGAGTACTATGTAGCTCTTAGAAAAGATGAAGTCATGAAATTTACATACAAGTGGTACAATATGGAAAGTATCATGCTAAGCGAAATGAGTCAGAAAGAGAGGGATAGACATAGAAAGATTGCATTTATCTAGGGGATATAAAGTAACAAAGTATGAGATTAATTCCCAAGAATAGCTGAGATCAGCACCAGGAGGATTACTCCATAACTTAGAGGCCAGCCGGGTATCCTAGAGGAAAGGGCAGTTCAGATAGAGAAGGGAGCACCAAATAAAGGATGTTTGGAGGATCCTCCCAGGAGGGGAGATGCATGTCGAAAGTAGACTATGGACTGAACATGTTTGCCACTCAATGCCTCTTTTGCAGACCACAACACCCAAAAGGAGAGAGAGAACACAGCGGATTGCCCTGCCACAGAGACAGGGGGGATGGGGGGATGGGGGTGGGAGGGATATTATCCATGGTGGTGGAAAATGGGCACTGGTGGAGGGATGGGTATCTGATCATTGTATAATTGAAACCAAAGCACAAAAAATTGTAAATCTACAACTTTAAAAAAAATAAAATAAAATAAAAGGAAAAAAAATCTGGGTGTTTCATGCAAAAGATCTAGCTTCTGACCCATCTTAACTCTTTGATGTGCCTTTCTCACTAAGTTTAATTTCAAGTCTCTAACTTAAGTGATTCTTCATTTTTTTACACTTTGAGAATATAATAATAGCATTGTCAACTGCTCTCATTTTCACTTTATCTTGTCTCAGATATTGGAGGCAAAAGAAAATCGAAACAGAGGGAATTCCTTGTTGGCGTGTAATCAGAACAAAAACATTTATCTATTAAGTTTTTTATTTTATAGTTGTGGTATTTGTGAAGGGCACTCAAATTACAGTAGTAACACCAACACAATTGCAGATCATCATTAAAGATTAATAGTAATTGAAATGTGAAAATATCTTAAGAATTACTAAGGGATGAAAGAAAGTGAGTATATGCTGATTGAAAAGTGGGGCTTTTGAACTTGCATGATGCAGACTTTCACTAAATTTTAATTTCTAAAATAAGAAAGTAGTATCTGTGAAACACAGTGAATTAAACTACTATAAAATGACATATACCTATAAAGTGTATTACAAAAAATATAGTGCTACAAGATAAACCTCAGAATTTTTCACTAATGTGTACACATCATTTTGTGTACTAGTAATTTATGTTTATAAATATAAACACAATAAAATTGCAACATATCAGGATTTTTATAATCATAGTAATAATTTTTAGAAAATATACAATATTATTGCACATTCTGAGTGTCCACAAATATAGAAATGATGGTAACAGTATCTGTGAATATCTCAAAATGAACTTTCATTGTTTTCTTTTGCACTTTTAAGAAATTTAAGGATTTTTTGTGTTCCATTATCTTTTTTGTGTGTGTGTTCCATTATCTTTACTGTCACTATAAACATAATGATAGTGTATATTTGATTTTCATATAATTAAATTACTTTCTTATAAATTGATTGCATTTGTCATAGATATTCCATATTTCCATCTTTTAGAGGAAGATTTTGTAATTGTGTCTACATATTAATTACTTATAAAATATAAATTATTTTATATCAATAATTTAAAAATTAGAGATGTACTCAGATTTTGAAGTCTGTTTTTAACCAAATTTTAGCATATCTATGTAACACACTAGTATTATTAATTTGATCATGTAATTAGATAATACTTATTAAATATATTTTCTGTAAGTTAGTTTCCAATCTAGAATTATAGCTTTTAGAGTTCTCCTAGTAACCTTTTATTATTACAGAATTTATCATCATAGAAATTTAATAGTTTATACTTAAAAATTAATATATATGGAATTAAAATCTTATTTTATGACAATGATGCATTTCATTTAGTTTTGTTAGCAAACACAATTAAAATTACTAGAGATGAAGGTGTGATAAGTGTACAGAATTAGTAATGAATTCATCATCTTATAAAAGCAAACAAATTTAAATGTTATAGGTATATTAGTTATTGTGTAATCACCACCCAGTTGGAAAGCTGCTCCACCTTTACTGTCCTGATAAAAATACTGAATACCCTGAACAAACACCATGATCTCTTAGCACCTGTATTGCAAACCGTAATGCACTAAAGGAAAAAGAGAGAGAGCAAGAAGGAAAGTGCCTCGCGTAGAGGGAGGCTGGCGGTGGGGGGTGGGGGAGGTTGGGAATGGTGATGGCGAAATGGGGGACATTGGTGGTAGGAAATATACACTGATGGAGGGATGGGTGCTGATCATTGTATGACTGAAATCCAATTATGAACAGCTTTGTAATGGTCTATCTCATGGATATCCATTTTAAAAAATAATTTGGAAAAGCAATGTGGAGTTCATGCCCAATTCAATAAGCTTAATCAATGGCTGAATAAATAGCACTATTTCTACATTTAAAAAATGTTACACTAGGTGAAATTAAGCAAGAAAAAAAGTAAAGAAAACCAGTACGATAACAAAAGCTCACATGCTTGTGTACACATACACACACACACAGACACACACACACATACACATGTACAATAAAAGGTGATTTGTAAGACTGGGACATAGGGAAAGTGGGGAAATATTGATCAGAGCATACAAAACAAAAGCTATATAGGATGGGGGAGTCTGGAGATCTAATGTACAACATAATGACCGTGGTTAATAATACTGCACTGGGACTGAAAATTTGCTGAGATAGTAGATTTTAATAATTATTCCAGCACAAAAATGCAATTATGTGGGGTCATATTTTATTTAGCTTGTCTGTCAATCTTTTCATTATGTAGATCTATCAATCATGATGTGCACATTAAGCTTAAGCATATAATTTTCATTTGAATGAGGAAGTACATTCTAGCTATTATTTTTCTGCCATGGTTGTGTAATTTTCATAGTCTTTTTGAAAAATAACAAGAAAGATGTCAAAAGCACATACATTTAGAATAAATAAGATTGCATTGTTAAGATAAGCACACTAAGTAAATTTGAGTTTATGTTTGTGTATGTATGTATGCGACATATATAACACGTAAGTAAAATCTCTTACATATATTTGTATTGTGTATATATAAAATAGCTTTACCTATATTTTATATAATTATACACATATATATGACCTATATATATATATATATGTACATATATTCACATAGGAAACTGATTTGACCTATCTGGTGTCAAGTG